ACAGGCAAAAGCAAAGCTCTGTGCCCGGCTGCCCTTTATTTCTGGAGCATGCAAATAACCAAGGGCAGCTCCCCTTCCCTGCCTTCCCTCCCTGCCCTCCCTTCCTCCCTCCATCCCACCAGCTGGGTCCTGAGGGATAAGGTCCCCTTCCCACCCCGGAGAACAGCGAAGGGATCACTGCGGGCTGCAGGTTCTCATGTAGCTTCGAGACAGCCCTCCTGCACTCCAACAGCCACGAAAAAGCTCCTGATTTAAAGTCTAATCTTTAACTAAAGGCATTTCCAATTTTATTTTATGTCGGGTTTATTGCTCTCTTTGCCTCGTTAATTTTTTTCCCTTCTGTTAACCGCCTCCCTGCCACCTCCCTCTCTCCGGGCACTCCCCGCACGCGGTGGCCCACGGCGTTTTGCCCGGGTCGGTTGCTCGGCCGCAGGGAGGAAGAGCAGGGGAAGACGAAGGGCAACGCCAGCGGCCAGGGAAGGGCAGCCAAGGGGTTTATTTGGGACTGGCAATATGTGCTGACGGCTGAACCTCGGTGCGTCCCGGTGTGAAGTGATCTCAAAAAACAACCCTCGAGCTCCTTTCTCGTCTGGCTTCCCCTTGGGCTGAGTGTTCTCATGCAGGAAGGTGCAGGAGATGATGATTTATTTTTTTTTTTCACCTTTACTTCACAGACCGGAGGTGGAGGTGGAGTGGAGAGAGGCAGCGGTGTCGAAGCCACCAGCAGGTAAGAGATGGGGGCGTTGGGACTGGAGGGGCTGCACCACGGTGCTGGGATGCTTGACGGGGGGTACAGGGGCACCAGCCTGGGCATCTGCCTCACTTCTCCGAGGGGACCTGCCTGCACCCCACAGCCCCCCAGCCCATGCTCAGGGCTTTCTGTGCGACCTCAAGGTGCTTGGGGGATGTGGGTGCTGTTCCCCCATCACCCCTGGCTCTGTTGGGGTGATAACAGTGGGGTTCAGTCCCTTTAGGTGGTGGGCACAGGGACACGCTGCCCTGCCCTTGTCCCCTCGTCCCACTTGGGTACGGGTGGTGGGGAGGGATCCCACGTTCCCTTCCAGGGATGGATGCCATCTCCCCTCCCCGTGCCACGTGAAATCCCCCCAGGAAGCGTTTTCCACGTGTGGGTTTGGGACACTGTGCCACGTCCCCACGGATGCTCGTCTCCCCCAGGCCACCCGTCCTCAGCCCAGGAAGCGTCACTTCGGCCATCACGGGGCAGCTCCGTCCCATCGTTTCTCCAGCGGGGTGTGAGATGTGGCCAGGAGGGGTGTGAGGCACCGCCGGGGCTCGTCCCCAGGGAAGCCGAGCTGAACACGTCCCTCGGAGCCGGAGCCCCGACCCACGCGATGCTGAGCCTCAAGCTACCCCGCTTGCTCAGCATCAACCAAGTGCCTAAGGTCAGAGGAGCTGTTCTTCCCTGAGCCCGAGGCTCGGAGGTGGGGGGGTTTGGGAGGTGGCAGGCGGGAACAGCGTGCTGGGGTGTCCTTGTCCCCCTGGGGCAGTGCTCAGCCCCTCCCTGGGACCCCTTCTCATGGCGGGGGGGGGGGCCCGCCATGACCCCGGGCCCGCGGGT